TTATGCCTATATTTTACGTGAGATAACGACACTTGCAATCTACATTGGAATATGTAGTTTTAACTTTTGAAGATAGTTCACAATTTTATCGCCGCGGGATTAAGTCACATTGATTTCCAATAATCGCGGCTACGAATATTCGCGTACTTATACGAAGAGAGAAAGAAATATGTATGCACACATATACATATACATATTGTATGTATATATGTATGTATGTATATAACAAAATTTTTTAAAATTAATATTACAATTCTATTGCTGCGCTGCGCATGGTACCAGCAAGACTTAAACTTTCTGAGAGCTTACATAGTATTAGCAACTCTTAAACTTTTGCTTCGTGAATAACTCCAAATTTCAACGAGCCCACTTGGTAGCATTATGTCACGATATTGACTCGCGTCGCGCTAAAAAGAATTTGTAAGGATAGGGCAAGGGAGATTTATCGTCATCGTGAAAATACGCGCGGTAAACAGACTCTCGAAACTGTTGAAATATTTCAATTATAATACAAGAGATATAATATGCGAGATTTCCGGCGAAAGAAGCTTTACATCATTCTCTGGAACACGGCATTTGAGTAAATTTGCATACTTCTCTCGTATTTTTTCAGTCTTTCGATTGGAAATATTGCGAATAAGAAATGCAATTTCTTTCCATTTTCGTTCATTAACACATTATGGACCGGACCGATACATTCGTTTAATCAAATTCTCAACTGAACATTATTTAAAGAACTACGAAAGAATATATCAATATGTAAACATCATGTCATATGGATATTTTTACAAAATTATGAATGTTACCTATCAGAAGACATGGACACGTGCGTATAATATGTTTTATCACAAAATTACATGGCCCATTCATGATGTGTTAAAACGGAATGTGATAAAAAATGTACGAAAAAAATACTTTCCAATTTCATTTCATGAGTTTAACAAGTCTCATAAAAGTGACACGAACAGACTTTATGTCATTCGATTTTGTGATTCAAGAAGTTTTTAGCACGTGACATAAATTTCCGATATATGTGCCTTTAAGTGTATGTAATACATTTAAGACGATATACTCATGTTCTGCTCGAGTTCTTTTAAAGATATCGGTTATAATGTTGCGCTGATATTCTTTCTTTTTAATAATTTAGCAATATCGGGCGATATCCTCAAAGAAAAAAAGCTAGAAATATATCTGGAAATTTAAAGTTATCACGGATATCTTGGAAAAAACATAGGTTTCAATGTGATACGTGCGAGTAAAAGTAACATGTTTATAATGTTATATCTTTGTATAGATATAAATATATCTTCTCATCAAAGAACTCGTTAGCTTTATGACGTTAATGAAGAACGAAATATCTTAGTTGCTAGAATTGTTAAAAGAGATAGAAGTAGTGAGATTTGGGAGAACTTTGTGGAGAGAAGAGGCTTTAATATAATTAAAACATATCAGAGAAAGAGACTTACCGGACTGATTGTCCATGAGGTCCCTATAACTATGCACCAAATTTGTTACTGCGCTCGTCATCTTGGAGAAAATCTGAAAGCAAAATAAATTATTAATATAGTAATTTGTTTGTACTAGAAAAACAAAATCGAATATTCTCAAAATGAAATATCCCTCTCTAAAAAAGGCATGTAAGCATGCCGAATATAAATTACGATTTATATTACGATTTATATTGCGATTTAATATATGTCTATACGTACATATGTATGTACGTATGTATATGTATGTACATACATGTGTGTGTGTTGTATGTATGTGTTTGTGTATGCGCGTAAAAACGTGTATGTAAATATAAAATCACATTTTTAATTGTATAATATATTACGATTTATATTGCGATTTAATATATGTCTATACGTACATATGTATGTAAGTATGTATATGTATGTACATACATGTGTGTGTGTGTTGTATGTATGTGTTTGTGTATGCGCGTAAAAACGTGTATGTAAATATAAAATCACATTTTTAATTGTATAATTTATTAAAAATTGAAAAATGCCCGTAAATAAAAGCGCGCGCGTAGCGCGCGCCTGTGTTATTCTAGTACATATAAATTATACTCAGTATTTATACACGTTTCTTAACTCTCCCCTCTCACGATTTAAATTTGTTACTTTCGGTCATAGTTTCATTAAAAGTATAGTGATATATATTTTTTATTGTTTTATTAGCAAGAACCCCTCGTAAAGAAATGGAAAGAAAAAGGTTTCGCCAAGAAATCAGTTATCACTTTTACAGATTTTTATTCAATAATACGTTAAAATTGTGATGTACATATTTTAACATACATTTTCACAACTAATATTTATGTCGTGATGAAGAAAGGGAAGCTTTCAACATATCCTTCCACTTCATTATATATGATTTTGAAATAAATCGGCATTGAAAATTAATAAAAAAATATTCTCTAGTAATTTCAAGATTCTTAGTCAAAATTATGTAAATTTATCCATAAATGAAAATTAATCATTTAATTTCTGATTTAATGATATTATACAATAATAAAAACAAAGCATACATATGAAAATAATATTATAATATCAAAAATTAACAAAAATTATTATAAATTTTATCTATATCAATTTAGTAATTCCTAAGATGGCAATTGGGTCTTACTTGATATATGGACGCACGCGTACACAAACAAACACACACACATACACACACACACAAACACACACACGCGATTTTTTGATATATATTCACGTGCCTCGTGCTAAATTTGTACGTCAAATATCGTGGAATGCTCTGCTCGTTAGTGGGTCGAAGTAACGGTCATTCAAGATAGAATGTCGAGCTCGAGTTAACATTTCGTCGGGTCTTTTTACAGCAAGACAACGATCGTTGAACGTCGCTGCCATTGACATAGTGAGCTCTCTAATCGCGATGTAAGGAAGGTAGGCGTAGTTGAAGTACGAATGACTATACATATATCTATGTAGGCGTATTTACGCGCGTCGATCGTGTTAAACTGAATACGACGTACGTATGGTCACGTAGTCAATTCATATTTGATAAGTGCACTTAGTGCATACGAATCAGATACGGTGATTGTTTAAACGGTGTAAAGACGACGTTGACTTTGACTTTTTACATTGTGCCGCGAATAAATTATCGCCATGTATATCGTGGACGTAGTCATTATACATAATGTTTCTAACTTGTGCACGTGTCTTTTTAGTAAAAACATGAAGCAACTTATTTATTTCGTAGATGCAGTAACGTTTTTAAGTTACGAGCGACTTAAAGTGACGAATTTGCCAAGATAATAAAATCTTTTATTCTTGAATTTCTCAAATAAATTTTACTTTAAAAAGTGGTTACAAATTATTTATTCTCTCTCTTGAAGGGAGTAAATACTTGCGAGAGTAAATAAATAATAATTTTTTTCGATATATCATTAATAGTTTTTATTATATATAAATAACAATAAATAAGTTTTTATTATAAATTATTTATATATCTCTTAATCTTTTTTAGCTTGAAGCTTCATATATATTTGGTAGCTCCTATACATATTTAAATTCTAGAAGAAATATGTGAGAACTTCGAACAACTGTGTAGATAGAACACTCAAAAAAATGTCTTGCTGATATAGGTAGATTTCTAGGTGTCACAACAAAAATTTATCGCTATTTTTTGTATCTGTTAGAATATTGTCTGTTACATATAGAATTTATAGCAGCAACATTCTAATAATATCTTCTAGAAAATTTAGGTCCCATTGCCAAATGTTAATCACTGCATTGGATAAATATGAGTTTCGATACTACAGAACGATCTTTGTGAGAAATATAACTGCCAATTATAACTGCAGCATCGAAAAATTGAGAAAAATTGTTTAAAAGAGCTAGATAGATTGAGCGCGTTATACAAATATGTTAGACGTGAGGATTATATATTCATTTGTTTCTTGCCGCTAATTTTTTCTGTCTACCACAGCCAAACTTTATAACAAGTATGATTGGCCTTAACATGGATAGGCGCCACAGAAAAACATTCTTTCTAAATTTCACAAACAGTTCAGATATAAATTCTGTCTCTGTCACTTAGATTGATTAAATGCGAAACATATGCGATATCACAGTATTTGCTAATCATTTATGTACCTCAGTTAATTTTGCGCACCCAGAAAATTTTTGCTGTAGTTGCAATACCACTTTTTTGAGTGAATGATATGTAGACTTGTTCCGACTGTTTTTTATGGTAGAATCTTTAACGAACTTAAATTAAAGTTTACTTGAGAAATTAAAGAATACAATTATTATCTACTTGACAAATTTTTTATAATCGATCTTTTTTTTAAATTAAATTAAATTTATTTCTCTTTTGTCCTCTTTTTCAATATTCAATATATATATTTAAATATTCAATAATATATTATATAACTATTCCCTTTCAACAAATTGATATAATTTCGTTTTATTTGATGAAAACATACATTTTTTATTTCGAAATTTCCGTCGGCTACTCTTGTTATATCTACTGAGATATATATCTTGCGGTAGTAGAAGTGTATACAGGGTGTAACATAGCGCCCGTATCAGCAGTTTTTTGAGAAAACAACGCATTTTCGTGACTGTAATACTTTTATGTACAGAATAATGAGAATAATGAGAGTATATATATATATATATGATCATGTCTTTTAAACAATAAACCACTGATGTAAAATTAGAATCTTAATATTTAATTAAAAGCTCTGTCTCAACGCAAATAAAGATTTGATTCGTCACGAATTGATTTGATTTGATAATTTTAACAATGTGATGCACTTTACCTATTTTTTATCCTAATGATATAATATGATATAATAACTATAACATCAAACATTTCGCGCGACCCATTTTAGAGATTCTTTTATAGAAAACTAATTTAAGTAGAAAACTTAGAATGAAAAAAAATTGTATTAGGATAAAAATTTCTCCAAATTAGTTTATCATCGAAGAGATTTGGCAATCGTACACATCGATACGAATATTTATGTACCATTTACGGTTTGACTCATATCGAATTTTTTCTATCGAGATTTCACATCGAGTCTCATTTTTTTCTCTCTGCTCTATATGCCGTTGAATGATTAAGAGGGATAATGCACGATCGCACGCGACAAGGCATGTCAGTATGCTAAAAGAAAAAGAAGTCGTGATCTAGCCACGACTTATTGAGTCGGATAAATTTCTCTCCCGCTCTATCTCTTTCTCTCTCTCTCTCAGGATATAGCTTCCTCAGTCAATTACGTATCTTATGTAAACATGCAGTTGAGTAGGTGTCGACGGCAACGTCTTATAAGTTAACGGAACAAAATGAGCAGAATCAATTCTAATTAATATTTTTATTTGTTGCTCATTTGTTGCTAAAAATTGCCAAAGAAAAAGATTTGTTGCTCTGTAAGTTTAAAAAAAAAAAGGGAACTTAAAAGAGTAAACTACTAAAAAAAAAAATTTGTTGCTCGCTTAAATTTGGTACTGACGTATTGGCTGAATTTGTTGCTCTCAAAATATGCAAGTTCCTAATTTGTTGCTTGCAAAATAAATACAAATAATGCCGGAAAGCCGCACAGCGTGCAAACTTACAAGAGTAAACTATCAGAAAAAAATTTGTTGCTCGCT